GGTCATCACAATCGCTGAATAAGTCGGGAGACCAAACTCGCGGGTTTGGCGATGGGTCCGAATCACTGCTCCAGAGTTCGTTGGTGGGTAATGCACAGCCTGGGCTTGTGGCATGGTGAATGGCTATGTGTGAAAAAAAATAATAAATAAGTAAATAAATAAATAAATAAATAAATAAATAAATAAATAAATAAATAAATAATATATATATATATATATATATATATATATATATATATATATATATATATATATATATATATATATATATATATAATATTGTGGCAAATTACCAATGTTGTGGCTTACCAATGTTGTGGCAAATTTGACCGCACTGGACGCATTTGATTAGATTGCGGACCATCTGGCCGTGTGCTGGTGGCAAGGCAGTGTGAGACTGTGGATACCTGGGGTTCTGATGTGGAGCACAACCACTCCCCCCCGAGGATAACTACTTAAAATTGACCCCAGAGGGCAGCTCGTCACTGGCAACTACCTGTACTGGTAATTATCTTTGAAAGGTCCCTGGGAGATCGCCAGTTTGGGGACACGCGCGCATTAAAAAGCAATTTGCCACCTACGACCGCCTCCATTGACCATTAAAACCAACCTTGGGTGTTGCCCGAAAAAAAATTAGCTTAACATTAATGCAGTGTGTGTGTGTGTGTGTGTGTGTGTGTGTGTGTGTGTGTGTGTGTGTGTGTGTGTGTGTGTGTGTATATATATATATATATATATATATATATATATATATATATATATATATATATATATATATATATATATATATATATATATATATATATTGTAGTTATGTGTATTGTAGGTTTTATTTGTTCAATAAAAAAGAACTAACGATGAAAATAAATAATGTTTTTAATTTACCGGTGGGGGGAATATCTATAATACTGAATGAATGAATGAATTATGTCTTTTCTGATGTTTGCTCTTTCCTATGAAAAAACAAAAACAAAACAAATATTTGATAATGTTCTTTCCTCTAAAATTAAAACATAAATACTTGTTTCTATATGTTTGGATGAAAAAAAAACATGAAATAATAATACGTTGTTGTTTCCAGATCTGAATAATAAGCAAACTCCCGATCTTAATAATTAAACTATCCAGTGTTTGGAAATAAAAATGGAACTTGCATATATTTTTTTCTGTCAATTATCTGAGTTTCCCCATAGACGAAAACGGGACTGGACCGCCCGTGAAGATGTTTTCTGTGAAACGGAATATAGAGAAAATGGGGACAATAATCTGGAGTAACTGATGAAAAAATATAACTCGAGTCTTTCTCATTTTATTTTTTACCTGATTATTGAAACCTTACCAAATGTAAAGACAAAACCCTTTATTTCAGATACACTTCTCAGCAGGAATTAAAAAACCCAGATATATTGTATTTACATAAAAAAAAAAACACGCACACGCACACATATACTAGCGCCATTAAATACTCCAAAAAACGTTTATATGCCTTTCACCAGTGCATTTTTTTGGTTTCCAACTATTGTACATTCATCCTCGGTACCTCTCATAAGTAGAGACCCCCTCATTGAGGCCCTAGACTCATCTTAAAAGCTCGAGACGAATCGTGCAAAAAAACAGGTTAGGATAGGGCACCAGTTCCTCAGGTACACCATTGGTGGTGGTCCCCCCGGGACCCCAGGGGGGACCACCACCCCACCACCGCCAGCCAGCCAGGAGCGCGCTGACTGTGCCCTAACCTAACCACCCAAATAAGAGGAATGGACGATCTGGCCCAACAGGGTCAAGTCGGCATGGAAGTGCCCAACCGTTTCTGAAATTTTTTTACCTCAATCTGTCTCCTTATTCACTACTGCTCTACTGGGTTTTAAAATACAGGTAGAACAGATCGTCCAGGCAAATAGGTAGGACCTTTGACAAGCCGCCAACGTCCTGTCCTCGTTGAGGCCACCAATATTAGTGGCTCTCTGGTTAATTAAAGGGTGGCAAAGATCAGTAACCAAAGAAAATGGGAAGAGCACCGTGGCGGGTAAGCGAGCGAGTGAGTGACGCCATCACAACAAAGGTTGCTATAGACGTCTCCACGACTCGTGAAGTTCGCCTGTCTTAAAGACCTGTGTCCACAATACCCGCCAAATTGTCCCTCCCACAGTACTCTCAGGACACTTATGGCAGTGTAAGTGTGTGGTGAGGCCACACCACTGAAGACATTGAGGATATACCACGAGGGAGAGACAAAACTGTTGAAGGAAGGAGTCACTGGCTCCACCTGACCACCTTGTTCCTCGCACTCTCATCATCCTCCGTAAGTACTTGAGTACTTTCTGCTCCACCATTGTCTTACACCCCAACATGCAATTGTTGGGGTCTGGAAATAGGCCTATGGCATTGTTGGGATGTAGACGTAGGCCTATGGCATTGTTGGGGTAAATTATAAGCCTATGGCATTGTTGGGATGTAGACGTAGGCCTATAGCATTGTTGGGGTAAATTATAAGCCTATGACATTGTTGGGGGTAAATTATAAGCCAATGGCATTGTTGGGGTGAGGACATTGGCCTATCGAATAATAATAAGAAGAATAAGAATAAGAATAATAATGAGAAAATCCCCTGGGACTGTGTGGTGTTGCAAACCCACGACCAAGGCTTTGCCAGCCGCATACTCTACCACTGTACCACCACTGACTTCCTAAAAGTCTTACAATCAGATTTCTACTGATGTCACAGGAAGTCTGTGATATCCTTATATCACAGGAAGACTTGAAACCAGTCCAAGTTTTACGTAAGACCCCCCAAGCACTCAGGTGAAGGGGTAAAGTGTTGTACTTGAACACTGTACGCCCAACTTCAGATACTACACTGAAAATCGCACTAAGGTGATATACATCAATGAACAATCCACTGGGGCTGTGAGGTGACGCAAACATTGCAGGTTCGTATCGCCTCACAGCCCGAGTGAATTTTCTCATTGATGTATATCACGTTAGTGTGATTTTCTGTGTGTAAATAATAATAATAATAATATTATTTATTCAAAAGATGGTGTGTACAAAGAACATAAGAGCATTGTTCAGTTGAAAGGACAGAAGTTACACATATTAATGAAGCCACTATTATGCAAAGCGTTTCGGGCAAAATTACTAATAATATAGAAATTTTTTAATTAATGTTGTGCCGGGATAAAACACTTAATACTATAAGAGTAGTAAGCTAACAAAATGAGAATGTTCAAGGAAAATAAAAAATAATACAAAGAAGGTGATACTTAAGGATGACAAGCATAGACTATTACATTATGGAGTCAGTAGTTCTGGCAATAGTACAATAGTTTATTTACATTAATTACAGAATGGAAATACAAGGTGTAGTTTAGAAAAGCAAGTGAACTGCTCCTCATAACTTTTTTTGGAACATATCAGAACGTAGAGTAACATACTATAATTTAACGTTAATGGGGTCAAAACTTACAAATAACCAAGATCATAAAGGACACGAGTAAACACTTTAACAAAGAAATGCATGAAATTAGATGACATTAAATGTAGACAGTAAATGTAGAAATTAAATGAGTAATACAGTGTGTCCTCGCTTGAACGAACTATATGGGGCATAGCCAATTCGTTCCAGTGTGGAATTCATTCCATCCGTCTGGCCCCCAGCAACCCCCTCTCCCCCCACCCCCAAAAAAAAAAAAGTCACATTAATACATATGCCGATACACATTTGCTTTTTGAAAAATTTAAATAACATGGAATTTGTAATGCAATGAAATAAATTGATATTGCACGTTACAGTACCTGTACTGTACTAACCCTACCAGATGAGTTGTGTAGTGCAAACTTTGTTAGTCTCAATATCCTGAGAGTGCCACACATATGAATATAAATTGTTTAAAGAACAGTAACTTTAATAACAAATGTACGTTATACACTACAGTCTGTACATGAAGTACAGACCACTAGAATCACACTACTGCAGTACACGTATATCACTTAGACTGCACTTTGTACATTTAATGTCATTAGAACTGTGCTGTACAGCTCAATTGGTACTCCCAGGTAAGTTATGTCTAGTGCTGGGTGCTGGTCCAGTTGCCTGGGCATCCTTGGAAGGTGAGTCCTTGCTAGTGATGGATGCTGGTCCAGTTGCCTGTGCATCCTTGGAAGGTGAATCCTTGCTTGTGCTGGGTGCTGGTCCAGTTACCTGGGCATCCTTGGAACGTGAGTCCTTGCTTGTGATGGGTGCTGGTCCAGTTGCCTAGGCATCCTTGGAAGGCGAGTCCTTGCTAGTGCTGGTCCTGTTGCCTGGGCATCCTCGGAAGGTGAGTCCTTGCTAGTGCTGGGTGCTGGTCCTGTAGGCCTACTGTGAAACCGTACCAAAAGCTTTTGAATCTTAGTTTGTTTCTTTGTTGTGAGCTTCATTATAATATCTTTCATGTCCTTTAGGTGCAGGTAATAATCTGTCAGCTCTTCATTATCAGTTACAGCAACCAAATCAAGCAGATCATTAACCTTTTGCAATGATGCAGCATATGGAATAGATAACACACTTTCATCTTCCTCTTCCACATCCTCATCATTATTACCAGTAACACACTGGATAATCTCATTATCAGTTAATTCACCATAACCTGGATCATCAGCATCATTATCTAACCAATCATTCACATCAGAAAGTTGCAAATCTTCCTCGCCTGCATCTCTGAATGTCTCAAAAATCGTATTATCAAAGCCCTGAAAATCAGTGATCTTCATCTTTATTCTAACCAGGTACCGGACTCAGAATTTTATTCCATGCATTCTTTAATATGGTGACCTTCAACTCACTCCATTCCTTGGCCTAGTTGTAAATTGCATCTTTAATTGAATATTTCTTGAAATTTTCTAGTGTTCTACTAGCCTTCTTATCCTTATTAGGCATCTCGTCGTCCTCAGAAAGCAGAACTTCCATAATATCTGAATTCATAGCTCTTTCATAAATCCTTTGAGAGCATAGATAACCCCTAATCCATGGGTTGTATTACAGATGTAGTGTTTGGTGGTAAAGCTATACATGTTATTTTGCCATCAGGCGATGTTAATTTAGCATTGGGGTGAGCTGGGGCATTATCAGTTAACAACATTGACTTTATCTCAGCAGGATGAATTCTACACATATTGATCTGCTGCTTTTTTACTTCTTTACAAAAGTGATTCTGGAACCAATCCTCAAAAATAATCTGTGTGAACCAGGCATTTTTTGTGTTGTAGTAGATGACAGGAAGTCTGTTCATGCAGTTTTTCAATGCTCTGAGGTTGGCAGATTTCCCAACAATTGCGTACTTTGTTCGGTTACTGCCATCTGCGTTACAGCACAATAATGCTGAAAATCTTTCTTTCTTTACCTGGCAACCAGGAATACTCTTCTCAAGCCTGAAGGCCAAAGTGTTTCTTTGAAGGCATTTCCAGTTAAAGCCTGTTACATCTGCATTGTACACTTAAAACCAGCTTAGATTATTAGATATAATGTGCTGAAAAAGTTTATGCTTATATGCATTAGCACTTCCAACACCTGCACTTAATGCATCGCCACAATTTTTCTTGTTAATGATGCCATACCTCTCTTTAAATCGACATACCCATTCAATACAAGCCTTGAAATTGTCTATGTTTAACTTTACAGCAAGTCTTTCAGCTGCATTTCTAATAGAATCAACTCAAACAGGAATTCCTTTTGCACGATGCTGTGTTAACCATTTAAATACAGATGAGTCCAAATCCATATACTTAGCAGGTTTCAATGTTTTCCTGTTGCCTATTGCATGAGTTTGAGCAAAGAATTTCTTAATATTATCCTTCTGCTTTTTTATATCACAAATTGTAGCTTTACCGATGTTGAATTCTTGGGCGAGTTGAGTGACAGAGTATCCACGTTCTGCTTTCTCTGTCAAGTCAACTGTCTGATCAATTGACAAATATTTTCTCTTTTGTTTTATACCTTCAATACCATGAATGCTGCTCTGAGACATCTTGACAGATTAAATGAGTTCAAACAGTAAAAATTGTTCAAATTTATCACGAAAATTCTTCGCGTGCGAGCCCGACGTTTTTACCCCAGGAAGAGGAGAAGCACATGGTGCCAGCCATCTCACCCAGGCCCAACGCGTTGACATGACCTGTGCTTATTTTATAGGCATACTCAAAATTTGATGTACATATTGACTGTTACAAATTGTTTTATTTAAATATTATTGTTATAATTAGTGAAATATTGTTAGTTTTGAAGTTTTATGCATTTTATACAGTACAGTTCTGTATTAACCCTTAAGCTGTGCATGGCATACATATACGACAGGACCTGATGGCAAAGCTCAATTTCTCAAATTTTTCTCTAATGCTTTCTAATTTTTTGTGCATACTAGCAAATCCTGCAACTTTGTCTAAATGATCACAAACATAACTTGAAAAATAAGAAAATAAAAAATAATTATAAAATTGAATATTGAAAACTTCAGATTTTGAGAGCAGCTGCAAAAATATACACTACTGTACAGTATCACCAATCGTTCATTTGGTGTTATTATGCTCTCAGAATAGTATATGATCTTCATTTTCATAGATTCAGAATATATGTCTTCAGTTTAATTTACTGTAAAAAAATAGTCAATGTGGCATTTGAATTATGTGCCAAATTTAGAAAAAAAATTGATAACTACAAACATTTAGGGTTTGTGAAAAATCCATTCTAATAGGATTGTAGAACAGACAACTGTGCACATTATTTGTAAAAATGGTGAGAATCGGTCAGAAACTTAATTTTTTTAAGCTGACTCAAAGTTTTAGAGATACTGTAATTGAAGTTGAAGTTATCGACAATGAATAAGGTAGTTCTAATTCATTAATTTACTTATATGTTTTAATAAACGTTGTTTGGCATTCGTACTCGAATATGTGCAAGTTGTAGGTCAATATGTATTGGAATGATGTCAAGAAAAAATAACTCCCCAATAAACTAAATACAGTAGTATTGAAACGATTATAGGAAAAGCTCAATTTGTAAGGTAGTCTTGAAAAGATCGCTTTGTAAGGTCCCACACAGGAAGAGATTCAGCTAGCCTCAAAGAGTGTCCATCAGTCAGGAAGAGATTCAGGTATTCTTGAAAATATCAATGAACAACACCACCATGGAAGCCGCTAACACTTCATCTATGCTACTTGTATCAGATGCATCATCACTGAACGCAGAAAACGATTCATCTATGTATCATCTATATAAATTTGAGATGGCAAGGGTGGGGCTCAGAGCTACACCTGGATACGCTCGCTGTATCATCCTCATAGGTGCTGTATCACTGGCATCCGACCGTTGTGTTAAGCCCTTATTGCGCCTAGCTTCAGCAATGTTATGACCCTTATGTTCTTCAAACAATAGGGTCTGAATTGCACCGATTGAGCGCAATCTTTCAACACCGTGTGGGACAGGTGTTTGAGAGCCAGAGGCACGTGTGCTACAAATGGTTGCTCACGCACTACTAACCCAGCCAGCAGCCCTTGTCTTTCATATTCGTTATAGCAAAAGGTTTGTTTAGTGTTTGTTGGGCAGGCTGCTCCATTATGACAATCTTTCTTTGTTTCAAATGTGTTCCATTTGTTTTGTATTTGTCATTTACATCTCAATAATGGAGCAGCCTACCCAACAAACACTGAACGAACCTTTATGGCATTTGTCCATTTTTCAAATTGTTTCAACAGTTCTTTTATTTTTCTTTTTTCTTTTTATTTAAGAAACATGGAGCAGCCGACCTGTAGACCACCGAACGAACCTTTTTGACATTTGTTGTATATCAGACATTTCATTTCATTTTTCCTACAAAAACGTCAATGCTTTGCAACATCTCAGCAGTCACCCTTTTATATCCCAGCATCTTTAAACAAGAACAACATAATTTATGTGCATCGTTGGAGGCGTCTAAGAATGTGCAAGAAGCAGCGCGCCCCCACCGCGTGGTGCTGACGTTACTCAAACCAGCGTTCGTCATACAGGACGATTTGACGCCGATCGGGCCGTTCGTTACCCAAAATGTTCGTCTTTTGGGGCGATCGTTATGCGAGGTACCACTGTATATATAATATATATATAAAATATATATAAAAATATATATATATATATTAGTATATTTTGGTAGCAGTCTTTCCTGTAGACATATATTATTAAATATGACCGAAAAAGTAAGATTAATAATTCTAACACGAATTTTCTCAATCTTTCGTACATTTCTTTTCACTGTTGGAGGTAATTCAAAAATCAATTCTCCAAAATTCATTTTTATTTCTAGTCTGACGCGACACTTGAGCGCGTTTCGTAAAACTTATTACATTTTCAAAGACTTTACACATACACAACTGAATAGAACTTACATATCTCCGATTTGTTTATATCTACATTTGAGTGAGGTGGATGGGGTGAGGTGGTATTTAATAGGGTATTAATTTCATCAACACAAGACAGAACACGAAACAATGGGTATTGAAATGGAAGTGATTGTAGAAAGCCTATTGGTCCATATTTCTTGATGCTTCTATATTGGAGCGGAGTCTTGAAGTGGGTAGAATATAGTTGTGCATTAATTGGCTGTTGATTGCTGGTGTTGATTTCTTAATGTGCAGTGCCTCGCAAACGTCAAGCCGTCTGCTATCGCTGTATCTATCGATGATTTCTATGTTGTTTACTAGGATTTCTCTGGCGATGGTTTGGTTGTGGGAAGAGATTATATGTTCCTTAATGGAGCCCTGTTGCTTATGCATCGTTAAACGCCTAGAAAGAGATGTTGTTGTCTTGCCTATATACTGGGTTTTTTGGAGCTTACAGTCCCCAAGTGGGTATTTGAAGGCATAGACGACGTTGGTCTCTTTTAAAGCGTTCTGCTTTGTGTCTGGAGAGTTTCTCATGAGTAGGCTGGCCGTTTTTCTGGTTTTATAGTAAATCGTCAGTTGTATCCTCTGATTTTTGTCTGTAGGGATAACGTTTCTATTAACAATATCTTTCAGGACCCTTTCCTCCGTTTTATGAGCTGTGGAAAAGAAGTTCCTGTAAAATAGTCTAATAGGGGGTATAGGTGTTGTTTTAGTTGTCTCTTCAGAGGTTGCATGGCGTTTCACTTTCCTTCTTATGATGTCTTCGACGAAACCATTGGAGAAGCCGTTGTTGACTAGGACCTGCCTTACCCTACAGAGTTCTTCGTCGACTTGCTTCCATTCTGAGCTGTGGCTGAGAGCACGGTCGACATATGCGTTAACAACACTCCTCTTGTACCTGTCTGGGCAGTCGCTGTTGGCATTTAGGCACATTCCTATGTTCGTTTCCTTAGTGTAGACTGCAGTGTGGAAACCTCCGCTCTTTTCCATGACTGTTACATCTAGAAAGCGCAGCTTCCCATCCTTTTCCATCTCGTAAGTGAAACGCAGGACGGAACTCTGCTCAAATGCCTCCTTCAGCTCCTGCAGATGTCTGACATCAGGTACCTGTGTAAAAATGTCGTCAACATACCTGCAGTATATGGCCAGTTTCAAGTTCAGAACAAGGAGATAGTTGTCAGGAGAGGTGACAAGTCGCCAATATATGTCATTCTTAAAAAAGACGAATATCTGGCGAAAATGAACCTCATACTGTAACCCCGCGATTATCTGGGATTCGAACATCCGAAAAACGCCCTTATACGGCCAAAATCGTGACTGGATAAAATTATCTCAATATCCGGCCAAAATGGCTACAGGAACCGGATAAAAGCTGGTTTGGGTAGATAAAAATTTGTACCGTATTAATCCCGTCTGCCTGTGGCTCTAGACACATGGTGGAGGAGGGGGTTGGTGGGTGGGTGGTGTAGGGAGGGTGGGAGGGGAGCGTCGGGAGGGACCACCTGGGTACAGGAATTACCATTAATTTTAGAACAATTAATCATAGCCAAAAACAAATGAAATAAGTACTAGTAATTATGTAATAACAAATAAATAAGTTTCCTAAAAGCAATGTGCACAGGCTGAAGTTTCCTTATAAAATATTGTGAGGTTTTTTCCTCCTGGCGGCCTAGTAACGTGCTATAACTGCCCCAAGTGGACCCGTCCAACACTGGTCAACCCATGTGCTCCCGTCCCTCGTGTTATACCATAGTGCTGCGCCCATTAGTGAAATATTTTTTTAAATAACTTTTTTATTTTCATAGTAACTTTGAACATTTTTGGCCAAGACTATGTCTGGTAGCAGCATCAATCATTCTGGAGGTGTTAAGAGGAAGAAGGTTGTCCTAACAATTAACCCTTAAAGTGCGCATCACGTCATATGAAGTGTAAATCGTTTTACCAGTCAACTGTGCTTCACGTCATATGACGATTATGGGTACCGCGCACGATTTGAATGGCCCGCGGTGTAGCTGGGGGTCCCATACGCTGCCCAGGGGCTCTAGTAAACAGCGGCCATTTTGAAAAAACTTCCCGCTCACGAACCGAAGGCATGGGAGGCTTCAGTTTAGCGAGAGTCACCATGGCGAGCGCACGGTCAAACGCCTCACGGGCACGCACCACTCAGTCCCTCACCCCAGAGCAAATAGCCCACGAATTATTCTCTGAAGGTGAAGAAAGTGTGTTTGATGATTCAGACAACGATGAGGATTATACACAGTTGTCGGGTGATAGTAGCAGCAGCAGTGAGAGTGAGAATGACCGCCATGCCATGGCGAGGCCTCTACGCTCACCCATGCCTCCTCGGCCAGTTTCTACCCCAATTTTACCACGACCTCACAGTTCCTGTGGATATTTTCTGTTTGAGGGTGACGAGTCAGAGGGAGGTGACTCCTTTTCTGGGTTTAGTGACTCAGATCAAAGTTTTATTGAGCCTGTGGCTGGTACCAGTGGTGTAACTGGGCGAGAAATTGTCGCGTCAGCAGCATCTCGCCCGGCCAAGCGCCACCGCATGGCACCACATGAGGGACCAAGACCCTCGTGTTCACGTGCATCCACCTCACGTGCATCCACC